TTACCTTGTCAAACTCTCGAAGAAAGGAGACCTCAGTGCTTGCAAGAACTGGCGAGGAATCACTCTCCTGTCCACCCAGAGCAAGCAAAATATTAAGCCGCATCATCTTGGAAAGGCTAAAAGATGCGCTAGGTTCAAAACTACGACCGGAACAGGCAGGCTTCAGGAAGTACAAATCATGTGCAGACCAAATTGCAACGCCACTCTACACATCATCATAGAACAGAGTATAGAATGGTAGTCAACTCTCTACCTCACCTCAACTTCGTCGACTTTGAGAAGGCCTTTAACAGCGTCGACCGAGAAGTAATTTGGAAACTGCTTCAATATTACGGAGTACCGCAAGCCTTTATCCGCCTGATTCAACAACTATATGAAGATGCCACATGCCAGCCAAGTAATTCACAATGGGAAGCTCAGTGATGCCTTTGAAGTGAAGACAGGAGTGAAATAAGGTTGCCTACTATCACCCATGATATTCCTTATTGTGGTGGACTGGATCATGCAGCAGACAACAGTGGGGAGTGAGAAGAGGGGGACACAATGGATGGACTGCGGAAAAGAACCTAGAAGACTTGGATTTCGCCGATGACTTGTGCCTGATGCACATAAACTTGGAGATCTACAGGTGAAAACTAACAAGTTGATAGAAGAGGTAGGGCAGTGAAGACGGGACTTCAGGTGAATATAGAGAAGACATAGGTGATGAAGATACCGCACCGCCACCATCAACAACAACAAACTCCAATCACCGTCAACGGGAGAAACTTGAAGGAAGTAACCTCCTTCACTTATCTAGGAAGCACTGTTTCAACTACAGGTGGCGGGACAGATGAGGATGTCAAAGTCAGAATCGGAAAAGCAAGACAGGTGTTCATTAGCCTGAAACCAGTGTGGAGACCTTCTGCACTCACTCAGCATGTGGAACAAGATGCGGATTTTCAACACCAACCCAGTCAAGTCAGTGCTTCTGTGTGATGGTTGAGAGACTTGGCGCGTCACGAAAGGCATTTCCAATAAACTACAGACATTCATCAACAACTGCTTACGCTGGCTCGCTACTGAAGATCAGATGGTTGGAAAGAATCAGCAACAAGGAGCTCTGGGAACGAACCAACCAAGAAGCTATCGCTCAACAAATATGCACTGGAAGGAAGTGGAGATGGATTGAGCATACACTGAGAAGGCCGACTGGGGACATCATGCGTCAGGCCGTTGAGTGGAAGCCCGGTGGGAAGCGACGAGTTAGGCGTCGGTACCGAGGGTGACATGGAGGAGATCGTGGGAAGAGGAAATGAGAGGTTGTGGGTTGTTGTGGAGCCAGGTTCAAAAGATCTCAGAGAACAGAGTTCACTGGAGACGTGCTACTAAAGCCCTATGTTCCATTAGGAACCCAAGGGACTAATAATAATGAGGAAGCTAGTTTTCATTGTATCAAATTTTGGAGCTAAAATTATTTTCTATATTTAGTAAGCAGTAAAATCAGTTTCCAACTGCTTTAATAGTCGCTTGGCTTCAAAATTTTCACTATTGCAAAAATGATTTTTTATAGAAATCGTAATCTAACATTTTCAGGAGATATGTATAAACCTTGCACATGCATTCAGGTCTACTAACTGTTGGCAAACTCAGTCTACCAGTTTGATGGCAGATGGCCCCTTGATTTTACCAGTACAACAGAAGATACACAGTTAAAATTAATGAAAAGTGTGAAGTGTGACATGTTTACGCATACATATACCAACGATCTGATCACACACTCGTGTTTGAAAGAAATCATGTGAACAATACCAACTGAATACGATCAAAATATCCAATTAAAATTTTGGATCATACAGAAGAAAAACTGTAAGTGAACTAAAAACATTATGTTTTCATACCAAAATATGTGTTAAAATTGCAACAGTAAAACATGAAAGACTTGGAGTATTACATATGAAATAGTCGAGAATATTTGTAGCTCAGGTGGATGGTATTATTTGCATTGTGTTCTCTGAGCTGGATTGTTTAATCGTAAAGCTTTCATCGTTCCTCTAGACGACATAATCAGCACTATCTTCAGCGTGAAGTGAGCTGTCAATATCTCTCTGTGAGTGATTTGGTTGCTTGCCCTGATGAAGTGGTCTGTGATTGGTTGTTTTCATTGATTGTTGTGTCATCGACTGCATAGATTTTTCTGATATATTCTTTGCGTATGACAGAATGATGCCTTGATTGATTTCTGTCAGTGACTTTGTAGTTGATGATGTACGGAATAGGGATCTTCTGGTAAAGTTTCATGAGTAGCCGTTCTTCTCTAGGATAGACATCAAGTAATCTTCTTCATTTCTCTGTGTTATTGTACTGTAGTGTGTTCTCGCTCTTCTGAATACAGTCTGCACGCAACTGATCTTGTGGGTCGTTGGGTTGTCGTTGCTGTAGTTGACATATATATCGCGTTTTGTTTAGTAAAAAGAATACTTGATGTGAAGCAGCGACACAATATTTTTGTGATTTTGTTTGTTTTTAGCGTATTCTTCAGACTTATCAATACAACGAAGTGGTTTCTGCAGATAATATGAAGTCAAACTTGTATTTTCACAAACCAGAAATTTAGCATCTGAGTCAAATAGTTGATTAAATACATATGAACTTGCAATAGGGCAATAATCTTATCTACCAGCTTATTTAGGAAACTTTACAATCCCATTTATTACTACAAATATAGAAACATTATCAAGTATACTGGCATGTCAGTGTGCACATATGAAAAGAGTATGTGTATGCAACATTGCTAGCTGATCGAAGGCATTCTTGTAATTACAGGCAGCAATCATTTGACATTTCTGCAACTCAGTAAAGAAGAATTTCCGGGAAGGAACAGTCGTGGTCGCTGTACAGGTTTAATTTTTATGGTCTCACAGAAGTCACTAGAACTGAGTTGGCCGCTCAGAAAATTGAGATATGGTGGCGTATGACCATTAGTTCCATACACAGTTAGTTTTCATCTCATGAGCCTTAAACTGATTATCAGTCAGGTCATTTACCTGAAATTCTGAATCGTAAAAATAGCAACCTGTCATCTCATAGATATCAGTGTCTGTCTACAGTCATCCTCTTTTGCAGCTTTTACTTTTGAAAGTGCCTCTATCACTCGACTTTAGGTGAACCGAATAACTTTGAAATTCAGAACATTGAGACATTCAATATTTGACAATGAATTACCAAGCATCATCTGGAAATGGTATGAAATCATTTGAGTAAATAGATCGGGTCATATAAGTTAGTGGTCACTCGGATTGTTCTTTGATATCAGTCTGACTTAATGGGACAATAGCAATGCTTTTCCGTTGGAGAAGTGTCGCACATCTGTTCATACTCTTCTGATGTCAAAAAATATGGTGAACAATACTGATAAGCAATAAAACTACAAACAATATGCAAATGGAAAATGGTAGAAAACCTAGTCAGTGACTTACGGCCAGTCTAGTATTGGCTGCGAAAGCAATCAGTTTCCAGTATTTTGCCTGCATAGGCAGTTTTAGATAAAAAAGGAACTATAATTGGTAATCTCAGCAGTTGTTTAGTTGGTCTTTGAGGTCACTTCAATTTAACTTCACTTTAGTTGAATAAACGTTACTTGGTTACGTTATTCTACATGAATCACTCATGGTGCTTTCAGCTCTTCTGAATTGTCTAGCTCACTTCACTGTCCTAACTTTCAGTCCGTCGAATCTCAGTGTCAGTAACACTACGAAACACATGACAGTAATAACCTCGGGAAAGCTTTGCTGTATTCCTCCTACTTGCAGAGTATAGTTTCCGTCGTCCTTGCCTTTTTTGTATGAGGTAGTTCTTCACTCGATACATCCAAAATAGATTGCATCTGCACACCTAGCAGATTTCTTTGCGAAAATAAAATATTTTGTCATTGTGGTGGGGACGAAAATCTAACTAAATCATGCGATAACCAACAGGCATCAGATTATGATGATGCTATGAGTTGACAGCTCTAAACATTAATGATATGTGAAGATGTAAGAAACTGTTCAGATACACCTTATCCTTTATTGAACAAATATATATAAAATTATGTATGTAGAGTAAAAAGCTGACGAGCCCTACTGAGATTTATGAATTTAATAAGCCCTATTTTAATTAAGTTTGTTAAGTGTTTTATATTAGGGAAATGCCTACACATGAGGCTTTCCGAAGTTTTAATAAGAAGCCATGACAGATGGACTAGACCAATTTGGATGTGAGGAAATATTTTAAGCGACTGCATTGGATGATGGACATGATAGATCACAAATTGAAGGAAGCGAAGATATATGAAGCATTGGGTACCGTACTGATGAACCATTGGCAAAATACCAGAGGTCAGAAATGAAGTTCCAAGGCTTCATCCCTACTAGCATTATTGGTGTTCACTGTTAAGGAGTCCCATAATAAGAGGAGACATAAGTGTTCTCATCAAATGTGTTTAGTGACGCTGTAGTTGATATCAGTCCTCGACAAATGCCACCTCAAAATCTGTCAATCATTAATAAAATTTCCAAAATCAATTCCATTTGAAATCGACTGTTAAGTATAAACAGTAATGTATAGTATTACATACTGCATGAAATATCGTGTAGAATTCATCACTAGAAGTCATGTGATATGAAACAACATTATATGATAAAACAGTGATTGCATCAAATATAAAATAAAGGCTCTAATAATATTAACAGAATCTAAACCATACCATGCGAAATCTCAAGAATGAATATAAATAATATGCCTGAATTACATATATATATATACTTTTTCAGTTCCTAAAAGAACTGATTGAAAGCTAACAGCAACCTAAAATACTGCCATTTCACCACTGTAACGTAGGCAGTTGGTTATGAATTCGATTAAAATTCCAAGTCACATCTAACGTCTTGCTTAATAGAAGAAAGTGAGGTGAAGAATATTCATTGAATTATTCAACAACTCTCAACAATAATAATTATTTTCCTTGTGTTATACATTAGAAAAAAATATTACGTGCTATGCTTGCAGAGAATGTACAGAAAGTACACAAAGAATTGAAACTTCTTGTGGTGCATGCGCAGTAAGTCAAAGTATTCTACTCAGTCTAATAAATTTGTATTCATTGTTCTACAGAGTAATTAACATCATAAACAAATAGGATTGAATTGATTTCACTTCATCATTTCACCATTTTCAAAACCTGTACTCATAACAGTATATGTACCGTCGGTGACTGAAACTCAGGTGTTTGCAATAAAATTTTAAATCCTTTCTCATAAGGCTATCTAAAGTCTCATATATCATTACCAACATCTCCACGATTCATCTCTCATTAAACACACAAGATTTGGTAATGTTAGTAGAACGGATCAGCCAGATACAGGGAAAGTGAACATCACAAGAGACTGTGGTTCAAATGAGTCAATCTCTAGTCGTTTCATTGATGCATTGAGGTGCTCACCAATTTGCAAATAAACCGAAATAACCAGCACAATTCAGATATCATCTGATTGTCATGCATCACGTGTTAGTGCTAAGTAATTAGGAAACAGATATCCTCCTAATCAAGGTTTTGTGTCAACAACCCTGACTTCCAAGCGATGACCACGACCGAATGAACCAAGCTGTCTGTCGGATTTGTGGTGAGTTTGTGTGGTGACCAAACAACACCTGGTCCTGAAACACTTGATGTTGCACAGATATTTGTCAGGATAACCCTAGTCGACAAACCTATTGATGCTTTGCTTCATATCTGTAGTTGGAACATGAGGACCATCGATATTAGAACCATCGGTAGATAAAATCGTTTCAGCTACAAAAGTACATTTATTAAAACAACATCAGAGAGAAAAGCACCTTCCAGTAGCAAGGATACAGCTCCAAATACAACAGAAATACCCCTTCCATTCTGGAACAACTTTCCATCTAAACATTTGGAGGTAAGTTGGTTCACTGAGTGTTCGGCATTTCAATGAATGCTATTAATACAAGCATCACTGCAAAGCAATCTCGTGGTGCTCACTACTTTTCGTTTACATTACATTCAGTGACGCAAAATACGAAACTTCACCTGATGTACTCAACTACTTACTTACAAATAAACCTTTTGTTTCAGACCCATTTGAAACCAGGATATACTGACAAGTATTGTCTCAACTCATGTGACGAAGCTCCAGATGAACAAGGAATGTATTGCTGCACAACTGATCTGTGTAACGGAATGACAAAATTGAATTTTCATGGAAGTGCCATCATCTTTATACTTGTGCTCACAGGAATCAATGTCTTCATTCTGTAGAACAGTGAGAAACTGATAACCCTCACATGACACAACTCACACATGACCATTTTCACAAAACATTCAACATAAGGAGACTAGCTTCTCATCCATTTGCTTGTTCCACTCCATCTCATATTTGCATCTCAATCATAGCTTGCATCATTGACTATTTTGAGTTTAATCCCTTCAACACTTTACACAATTATGGCATTTGAATAAAATATTTCGACGATAAGTGATATTTTAGTGTTGTGTTGTGACACATGGGGAAGGTTCTAAGGAATACACTTGACTAGGAACTCGCATCTTGTGAAATATTCCGTTTCCACGTTATGGTCAATACTGAGGTTTGTTTCGCATCATTGGAGCTTCACAGTGCATGCAGATTGCGACCTGCAAACACTGAGGTAGTAAGGTTGACTGTCATCACAACACAATCACTCATACCATTTTTATACGATCATCCATTTGTTCGAATCAACAAAAGGAATACAACAAATCATCATATTACGATATACAACATAATACAGTTAAGAGAATGATACTGTGTAAAGGGAAAATGTCTCTTCTCTGCAATTGTGTGTTTTCCTATGTCAACATGGGGTTGTTTCGATATTTGAAGAAGGATGGAAACTGTATTACTAATCGCAGCCCATCCTTGCTTGGTTAACTAGTTACTTGCTGGTCCTAAGTCTGGGTAAAGAGGGAGTTTGGGCATACGGCTAGCAACGCTACCCCGTTAAACTAACTAATCCAACCGCTAAAAATCTTCAAAACACAAAAAATGTTTACGAGAAATGAAAGCAAGCTTATTCCTCGCTGGAATCGGAGAAGCGAAAGGACGCCGGTTGGTAAAAGCCTTGCGGAAGCCAGTCGACCGATGTGTCTTCTCTCGATCAAAGCGAAAGTAAGGATGGATACACGGAATGTCCGCACTATGTTTGAACCTAGCAAGGCTGCACAGATTGCAAACGAGATGAGAAGTTATAGTTTTGAAGTGCTAGGAATTCGCGAAAGCAGGTGGAATGGAAGGGGACTCTCCAAAATCTTAACTGGACAGTCAACAATCTACTCCAATGTTGTCACCCACACGACAACCATGAGCACACTGAGATTTGGAGTGGCCATCATGATGTCCCCAACAGCATCGAAGGCTCTCAGGCAGTGGGAACCAATCTCCTCCAGCATCAGGATCATGACAGCAAGATGGATTCAACTCAAAAGGAAGGAAGGAAGGTCACAATCATTCAATGCTACACTACTCACCTACAAATAATGCAGATGAAGAGAAGAAGGAGGAATTCTACAGACAACTGCGATCGCTACTAGACAACACTCCAGTTGGCGATATGAAAATTCATTCTGATGGACGACATGAATGCCAAACTGGGGGGGGGGACAACACAGGAAGAGAACTAACCATGGGCTGAGAAGCGCTCGGTGAGGTGATGAACGAGAATTGAGAATTATTCATAGAATTCCGTGCATTCAACGATTCAGTGATTGGAGGCAGTGTGTTCAAGCACAAGAATATGCACAAAGCGACATGGACTTCACCAGGCACCAGAACACACAAAACTTCAAATCGACTTCATCTCAATGTGAAGAATGTGGAGATGGAGAAGCAGTCAGCCTACTAGACACAAGATGAAGAAGAGGAGTGGATGTGGGTTCACACTACTCACTGTCTAGTGCAAGAAATCTACCTTCATAATCAGCTGAAAGCCTTCAAGACAGTTGGCGATAGACACAGGTTTCAAGTTGAACACCCAGAACAGAAACTGAACTGAGGGATAAACTACAGAGGACATCTTCACGTCAGTCATGAGAACAAAATGGGAGATATCGAGCATTATCCTTGTAGGATCGGACGTGAAGGAACACTGGAACTCTCTGAAAGAGATGTGGAAAGAAACCTGCACAACCATTTTAGGAAGGAAGAGGAGACAAGACAAGGAATATGGTTGTTTCGATATTTGAAGAAAAACAGAAATTGTGTATTTCTAATTGCAGCCTCCTTATGGTGTGCTGAATTTTTATTATCACTGTGACATACTCGTCATGGTGATAAAGTGTTTTTATGACTAGCTTGCTATTAAATAAAAAAGAGTCTGTCTTAGTTGTTTCGGAAAATTTTCAAGGGAATAAATTAAGACAGTTTTTGCACTTCATGTGCGTTTTGATTTTCTGTTTAGTCCCATCTTTACTCACTGAACAATCGAAATTCAGACCTGTAAGTTGTAGACATAAAAGATGAAATATGCTACTCCTTTGATTTACCACTCAGATTCGATAATGAACTCTATCAACAGGTAGACGGGTTCACCATCAGGTCTCCCTCTAGCTGGTCGCTTCACAACCAGTCTTCAGAACAGCTAACTTCGATCGTTATTCAACCAGTTCCATCTATCCAAGAGATAAATACATGGGTGACATTTTCATTAACCTTAGGAAGAATAGTAACCTGAAGACATACTATGGAAATCCAAGTCATGTCGCAAGTCAATTAACTTTTCCATGGAAACTGAAAATGACTTAGGATTCAATTTCTTGGAAGTTCTAATGAGAAGAAGACATGATGGTTACTTAAGAAGACCGATTTACGGGAAACAAACCCTTAGGAGACAATATCCTAATTTTCAAATTTGGTTTCAGTTAGGCGAAAAATGACATCCAATTAATCTACTTTTCACACGGATTAGAAATATTTGAACAGATAATACAGTAAATTAGGTGCTGGAATTGATTTGAGTTGTGTAAGGAATAGACTACTGCAGTGGGCCACATTTATGTGGGTTTACTAATTCACCTGCTCTCGTAGATTTCGTTAAGTAGGCCGCACAAAGGGTTTTCTTTCGAAACGCGTCTCAAAACGCTTTCCTGTATGTGTATGTAAAGGAGACTGTAAAGTTATTAACAGCTCAATTTTTAAGCATCTGGTTAACTTTAGCCAACCTGCTCACCAGAATCTTCTTTCAAAATCACTTACAAAGTGAAATCAAACGTTTTGAAGAGGTTGCGTACTTACTACCTCAACATAGCAGAGGCTTTTTTGGCTCAGTGCTTTAAGCCTGATCTCCGTACTCTCATTCTTCTTATAAATTTCCTCAGTAAGATACTATGCAAAGTAGTTTGTTTCTTTCGAAGGGAAACTTCTGAAGATTGATGTGACGCCCAGTGACAACATACGCCTACCACAAACGTTGGCCTCTCCTAGGCAGTTAGAGAATTCGAATAAGTCAGGTGTACTGTAATTATTGATGTAACTCTTCATTGGCTAAATAATCTCTGGTAATCGTTCAGGAGTCTGATGATATGGCAAACTGTTCATGACAAGTACTGGAAAAAGATGAACATCTTTCCTATGAACTTTAAAAGACCATTGTGTCGAGGAATTACTGAACCAGATGGCTTTAGTATTTGATTGAAGCTTATTTGATGGCACACTTCTGGTCCCTAATTTCTTTAAGGTGGAAAAAATTGGGAAAGGAAATATGACTGACTGGTTCCTCTCTTTAAAAAACTGTTTGTGTGGCCAATAGACATTTTTACTGGATTAAAACAACTATTTGTTGGAATCTGATCACTTAAGTCCAAATAAGATATTTGTGCTTAAATTGGCTGAGAAAATCATGATCATTTATCAGGTGAAATCACTTTTGAGAAAGTAATTGGTTAAGACTAAATCCAAAGGTAATGTAGAATTCGCGGAGATTTTTTTTCTATAGTGACAAAGTTGAAATATTTCAGGAAGCGTGTTTAAAAATGTTTTGAGTGTAATTTATAATTTTAAATGAGGT